GTCCTGGGCCTTGTGCTGGGGGTCTGGGGGTCCCAGATCCTTGCTCTGGCTCATTTCTAGCATCCCGTGTGCCTCCACTTCTGCCCTGTCTGTTCACCACCCTCTGGCTCTCAGGCCCAGCTCCCAAAAAGTATTCCTACCTTCTGCTCCACGTTGGTCCCAAGTCACCCAGTCCTGCCGGGCTACCTCAGGCTGCCCAAGCCTCTCCCACGACCTCCCCAGAACTGCCGCCTCGTGCCTCACTTTATCTCTCTGAGTCTTTTCTCTTCCCACCCTCTATGAACCTGCAGGCCCCAAGTCCCTCCATTAGGCTCCTCCTTCTGCCTGTGTCTTTGCTCCCAAGCAAAGGCCTCACCCTCTTCTCTGAGATGGGCCCACCCTCTCTCTTTCAGAGGCCTGGCTTGGTCCTGTTCCCCGGGAGGCTTTCCTTGGGCTCCCCTCCCGACTCTGTCTCCTTAGGGCGGCCGTGGGTGCAGCAGACCAAGCCTGGGCTTGCGGCAGGGGGGCAGCTGCGCCTGCACCTGCGCACGGCCCCTGATGCAGCTCTTGTGTAGAGTGTGACCGCAGGTCCCATCGTACTATCTGCACCTATGAAAGGAGAAGAATTCCAGCCCTACAGGGTGTCATAAGGATTATATTTGAACACGTGAGACGCCTGGAACTGTGCTTCGCATACAACAAATGATCAATAGCCGTTACTCTCCTTCCTCTGCCACTAAGTGCGCCCCCTCTGGACACTGCAGGTGCTGCCCTTTCAGGCCGCTCCACCTCAGGGAAGGCTCCGGAGCCCCCCTGGCCAGGCCCTTCCCGGGCTCACAGGCGAGGCAGGGATGGAGGACCCTGGTGCTGCCGGAGCCTGAACCCCATGCCTGGTGCCAAGGGGCTCAGAGGAACCCTGCTGGAGTCTCCCGACAGGAGAGTTTAACTTCAGTATGTTGCTCTTTGGGGAAGTGGCAGTGTTGCTCCCGCCCTCAGCACTTAAGGTATTCGAGTCTCCACGCTCCTCTTTCAAGGCACCAGCCACTTTCCGTTCACCGTCCCAAGGGCCTTTTTAATCTGGCGTGCGTGAGACTGCTGGTTCGGGGCTGCGGGCTACTTGAGGGCAGGGCCGGGTCTGTTCTACTCACCACTGACTCTGCCAAACCCTCCCATGCCTGGCAGACATTGGAAGCTTGACAAACAGCGGTCTCATATGCAGATAGAATACATCCACGGGTACAAAACTATTTTGGTAATGCACATGCAACAGTCAAAGACCAAAGACACATGAAAAAGGAAGACCTGGCTGAGCGGTAGACCCTGAACCTTAGCTCTAAACCATGTAATCTGCCCAAGGATTTGTTTCCTGGTGTGTAGATTTATGAGGTGTCCTTATAGAGTGTTTTTTTTTTTAAATGAAAACTCAGTTTCAATTGTAAAGAAAAAAAAATAGCACACACCACAAACCACACACACATTCTTTGCTCTCCAGGATCTCAGGCACCTACCTGAACTGGAAACCTTTGCCGTCGGGATGTTGAAAGCAAGCAAGACCAATCAGAAGCCAGCATTTCTAGGGTCCCGCCCCTCAACATGGGTGACAGACAGGGCTTTCAACCCAGCGCCCCCTGGAGGCGGGGAGTGCAGATGCTGCGCCTGCGGAGAGGGTTCCCTGCCGGGCGGAGCCGGCTCACCGGGCGAGTGCCGGTCGCCCCTGGAGCTGCGGCCTGCTCGTCCCGCACCCGTCGGACTGCATAGGGGGCCAACGTCGAGTCCTACAGGGCTGAGCTGCTGAGGAGTTGCCGACAGTAATTTTAACCTGTTTACTCAGGTGAGTTTTCCCACAACTTTCCCCTAATTTCTGTTGTAAACTACCCCTGTTTAACCTGAAGAGTGGCTTTGATGAGACAAAGTGGCTCCCAGAAGTGACACAACAGCGGGCATAAAAGCTTCAATAACACCTCTTTGGGACCCAGCCCGACCTCCATTAAGCAGACGGACGCAGAGAGGGGGTGGCACCCTTTCCTTGGTCCCCAGTCCCTGGGATGGGGGTGCAGGGACGGCCCCCACCCCCACCTGCTGGTCCCGCCATCCCAGAAGGAGCCCCGGCTGCTGCCACTGCACCCAGACCTCCAGGTCTGATAGCCAAGGTGTCTTCAGCCGCCCCCTCTCTGGAAGGACCTGACTGGGAGACCTCGCCCTGCTCTCCCTCACCTGGGCAGGGCACAGAGCTGAAATGACCATTATCCACTTCATGGTCCTCGGTCCCAGTCTGAAAGAAGGTCTGAGGAGCACCCCTTGCGAGGACGCCAAAGACCTGCTGGGTTCAAGGTGGATTCTTCCTTGGGCCACTCAGTGGCCCATGGGACAGGCCCTGGGCCCTGGCTGCCCTCCTCTGCAGAAGGGGCTTGTGCAGGAGGAGGGGTCAGGTGTGTGCAGGCCGGTGGCAGGAGAGCCCTGGGACACCCGGGAAGCGCAGGCTCTTGCCACCGGAAACGTGGGGGAGGTGAGGGAGGGGAGATGTGAGGAAGAAGAGTTTTTACTTTATGGAGCACCTACTGTGTGCCAAGTACCAGGTGAGATTTCTGACCAGGACAGCACATTCCTCACAAAGGCCCAAAAAATGTGGTTTTAAAATTATATAATTTATGTATCATTTGTACACACATATTCATTTTATGCAGAGGAGAATATTCCTCTAATCTCCTTTCCTACCACCGCTTCTTATCTGGGGCCAAAATAGTGGCAGTTGATGAGACGGAAAGGCCAAGATACGACACCAGAATCGCCTGAGAGGGGAGGTGAGATCCTGGTCTGATTAGCACCAGAGGAGTTGTGAGAACTAGAAATACAGGTCCAGGCCCCTCCCTGGTGGGTGAGGAAAAACTCGAGATTTCTGGGGAAAAAAAAAACAAACCTAGTCCCCAGTCAAGGAGGGGAGTTGACAGGGCAACTGCATGGGCCCTGCTCACGGCTGGTTCCCGGGAAGGGCAGGTCTGGTCGGCCACCGGATCCGGAAATCTGCCATGTTGCGGCTGGAGGGGGGTGGGGGCACCACTTTGTCCAAGACCTCCATGGTGGTGGGAGGGGACTCGCTTCTCAGCACCCAAATTAGCCCCGGCAGGGCCAGCAGCCACCCTACAACCTAACACATGCTCTTCCCGCCACTCCCTGAGTGAGACTCCCTGAGTGAGACGCCCTGAACCCCGGGACCCCTGAGCATCACGGCGGAGTGGCCCGGGCTAGGGGTGACTGAGGAGTAGCCTTTGCCTCCCTGGTACAGCCGAACACCCGGCCTTTCGTTCCCCTCCTAGTTCCAATTTACTCCTAGTTCCCCAGGAACATGTGAACCCCAGTTTTGGTTAGGAAAATCGGCTCCCCTGCCCAGGTACTACCCCCCAGCCCCGACCCCAACCTGTCCCTGTGTCCCAAACTTGTCTTCCCCTCTCCACTGCTCTCCTGCCCTGTCGAGGACCCCAGTATCCCCCGGACTACGGGTCCCATTCAGCTTCTGGGACTTCCTTAATCACGGAATACAAGGCTTGGTCTCTAAGCACAGAAACGTCAAGACCTCAGGGGGCAGGTGGATTTCCCAAGTGCTTTTGGACGCTGGGAACCTGGGATGCTGTGTGGGGGGAGGACACTGCAAAGACAGGCCTGGGGTTAGACCTGCCTAGAGACAGAGCTGTGAGCCTAAAGTCTCCTGCACTGCATGGCGACAGGAGAGCAGGCAGGCCTGGGGCCGCCGCCTCAGCCATCCCCACGTGCACCAGGAGCCCTGGGCCCTCTGGGAAACTCCACGTGGCACAGAGCGGAGCTGGGGGTCCAGGTCTGGTCCCACTCGGCCACTGACTTGCTGAGAGCCTTGAGAATCGGCACAGCAGTGGCTGGCCTTCATGCCTTCGGGCTCATGATTAGGACCAAAGGAGAGGGCTCAGTCTCAAAGCCCGTCCTACTGAGGGGATTCTGCTCGTTCTTCTCTCCGCTCAGGAGACAAGGAATAGAGGGAAGTGAGGACACAGTTGATAAAAGCGCATTAGCTGACGTTGTGGAGTGCGTGCTACCTGCTTCCTGGCTGGCTCCGTACCAGGCACTCAGCATATTTGATTCTCCCAGCAACTGCAGGGACCAGGCAGGACCGTCGCTGCCAGTGCCACTTCTCCCAAGCTCACTATGTCTGGTGAGTGGCCAGGCCGGCACTCAAATCCTCACCTGCCTGAAGCCAAGACCTTCCCTTCCTCACCAGCGCCCCCCACCCAACACCTTCCTGGGACTGGTTTCCACGGGAGACCCTGCTGGCCTGGGGAAATGCCCTGACTGGGAGCACAACCTGGGTTTCATGCTTTCCCCCTGCTCGCTGCGGGGACTCGGGCAGCGCACTTTGCTTCTCTGGTCCTCTGTCCCTTCTTTTGTTTAACAAGGAGTTTTGCTCCCTGAGCCCCCAGCCAGATCCTTGGGGGTCATTTCTATCGTCCTTGACCCTGATCCTACGTTGGGTTAGAAAAGAAATAAAAGTGCAAAAGGGAATCAGACCTGGAGTAGGGGCCCAGGGCCCTGGAGTGGGGTTTTCTCAGCCTCTGGGCATCCCTACGTGTGTCCTGGAGTCACCCACCCTGGGAGGGTGGCAGGTAGCCTGTTACCAAGTTCATGTTTCAGAAAACTAAGGTCCGTTGAGGTAAAATGACTCCTCAGGGTCAAAGAGCAAATTAGAGGCAGAGCCAGGGTTGGACTCCAGATCTTCCAACCCTGAGTCCAGGCTGCTCTCGGGCCCCTGGGCTGGACCCTTGGTGTGGTGGGGGTGGGGTGGGGGGGGGCAAACGAGAAAAGGGAAGTGTCAGCATGGCTGTGGTCCTTTCGGAAAGACCACTTTCTTGCCTTTGCCAGCTTTCAGAGGCTGCCCAGATTCCTTGGCGCGTGACCCCTTCCTCCATCTTTGAAAGCCAGCAGCAGTGGGTTGAGGGGTTTTTTTTTTAATAGTTTATTTTTGTTGCATTTTTTCCCATTACCGTTTATCCCCCTTATTCCCTCTTCTACCTTCACCCAGCCCCCAGGTTGTTTTTCTCACATGGCATCACTCTGACATTGACTGTTCTCCCTAGTTCTAAGGGTCCTTGGGGCGACCTTGGACCCACCCGACAATCCAGGGTACCTCTCCAGCATCTGCATTGGCTGATTATCAACCTTAACCCCATCTGCAGCCTTTATTCCCTTGGCCATGCGACCTAACACATTCACAGGTTCAAGGATTAGGACGTGGACGTCTTTGGAGGGCATTATTCTGCCTGCCATATGCCCCTTGTCTCCAAGGGGACTTCCAAACACAGTCACCCTTCCTGCACATCCAACATGTGGGCTGGGGTGTGTGCCTGCTCCTCTCTCCTGTGCGCCTCCCAGAAAGTCCGCGTGCAGCCCTGGCCTTGCCCCTCAAGGATTTCCCTTTCATTCTGTGTCCTGCCTCCCTGGCACCCACCTTCTCAGCGCCTCTCTGTATCCCTTTCACAAGCAGACCCTTTGCCTCTGAGCCAGGCAGCCCCAAGCTGGAGTGGGGACAGGGAAGCAGCTCAGGTTGCTCGCCAGGCTCAGCAGGGGAATGGGGATTGCTCTCCAGAGGGGGCAGGGGGCTGCTGGCTGCTGGCTGCCACAACTCAGACGGTGCCAATCCTGGCGTGTGGGACGGGCTGTGGGATTGGTTCCCATCCTCCCAAGCCCAGAAAAGGTTCCCTTGCCTCGATGACAAGCGCCAGTTGGGGAAGTGGAGAGGGCGAGCCAGGCGCTGCCTGGTTGTGTGGCTCCGCTCTGCTGGGGGTGAGGGGGTGCAGAGGAAGCAGACGCCTGAGCTGGGATCTTCTGGGAATGGGTGGGGGCTCTGTCTACCTAAAGAGGGGTGGGGGCTCTGAGTTCGTCCACATCTCCCCCGACGTGCTGGCTGGCTGAGATTTGGGCATCACACCATTGTCTTCCTTTGTTCTGTCTTCTGCTTCTTGTACCCTCCTGATACTGGCCTCTCTGGGGTCACCTGGGGGGAGACTTAGGTCAAATGCAGCCACCTTGTCCTTGCACCCTGTAGTAGGCAGCTTCTGAACCGGATTCCTGGTGTTCGTATCCTTACGTATTAATCCCCTCTCTTTGAGGCGGGCTGGTCCTGGTGACTGGCTGTTCACAAAGAGAATAGGGAAAAATCTTTTAAGATTTGGTTATAAAAGGCTGCGTCTTCTACCTTTCCCTAACACTCTTCCCCACTGGATCTGGCTCGTTCCCTCTGATGCAGCCAGCTGCCGGCTTGTGAGCGGCCGTACGGAGGAGTCCATGCGTCTAGGAATTGAGGGCAGCCCGCGGCGACAGCCGGCATGGAACTAAAGCCCGGGGTCCCACAACCCCTAAGCAACTGGATCCTGTCACCAACCGTCACGTGAGTCACCTTGGAGATGATCCTTCCCCCATCAAACCTTGCGATGACCTGCGCTGCAGCCTGGGAGGGACCCTGAGGTGGGAGCCTACTCAGCCACCCACAGATGGCGGGCACAGATCCCCGAACCCCCTTCCTCTGCTTGGCCGTCATCTCTCCCCAGCTCCAAGCTGTGGTCTGGCCCCGTGTGGACGGGCCCCGCACTCGTGGGGAGAGCCCGCCCGTCCGTGGCTGCAGCAGCCGGTCAGCGCCGGGTCTGCGGCGACACGCTTCCGTCGTTCCCCCATCCCACCGGCTCGTCTGCGTGCAGTTGCACTTCTCCTCCGGCCCCCGAATACATATTTTATCTGGATGTTACTATAACAACCCAGATCGGTGAATGTGTTTCTCCTCGTCATCTCTGTTTCCAGTCAGTAATAGATGTTCCCTTTGGAAGGCGGCTCCTCGCTCACGTCCCCAGACCCTCTGCTGGAGCGAAGCGGAAGCCTGCTCCGCGCCCAGCCGCCTCCCTCTGACTCAGCCTCACCTTCCCTAAACGTGACTCTCCAGATGTCAGATTTTTCGTGGCTGTCACGTCTCCGCATTTGCCATTGAACCTGCCTGACGTTTCCCACCACTAGCCCCGCGTGACTGCAGCGGGCAGACAGGGTTTGCACGCCGGTCCCACCGCGTGCTGCCCGTGAGTCCTGGTGCGAGTGGGCTCGCCCCTGACCTCAGTTCCCTAATCTGAGGTGAAAGCTGAAGACACCTCAGGTGCGCTTCAGCCTGGGGAGGCTCCCTCCGTGGTCCCGGCTCTGGTCACCAGCCCACTCCGAACCAGGTTCTACTACAGCCAGTGGGGTGGCGCAGGTCACACGCCCGGCCTGTAGCTGGGCGCAGGCGGTGGCATTGGCGCTGGGACTGACAGATGCAGCCCGTGAGCCAGCCCGCACCCCACGGAGTGGGGAGAGGGCTGCTCGGCAGGTGCGTCGCCCTTGCCCGGGTGGCCGCCCGCATCCACGTGAGCCTTCTGTCCCGTGTAGGCACGCTCAGAGTGCTCTCGCTGTCTGACACGGGCGGTGGTCGCACCACATTGCGAACGTACCCAGTGCCACTGAACTGTGCATTTGGCGATGGTTAATTCAATGTTATATGAATTTCACCTCAATAAAAAAGGTTTTTAAAATGCTCCCACTAAAATAAAGAACCCACGTCATCTACAACTAAAAATGCACTTACTCTTCTCCCAAAGGAAGATAATCCAAGTCATGACCAGTTCTAAAATCAGGATCTCTGAGTAATGTGCGTTCCTCTCAATGCCGTCTGGGTGTGGCTTCTTGTTATCTGTAACAGTGGCTAAAGTATAAATTTGACCACCTCAAATGCCAGATCTCATGACGGTGGACAGAAAATAGATCATCCACAGTGAAGACCGACTTTGGGAGAGGGGAGAAGGGAGGGAGCACGCAGAGGTTGCCGGCCCCCGGCCTCCACTGCGCTCCGCCGGTGCGGTGGCCGGGGCTCACCCCTCCACGGTGGTGGGGCCAGGTCCCAGCCCAGTTTCCTGGAAGGTCCTCCTGGACTCCTCGTCCTCCAGGGCTGGGCTGAGGGCCTGCAGGGAAGTTCCGTTGGGAAGCGCCATCTTCCTGTCGGTATGGTCAGGGCTTCCCGGGGATTCCTTCAGGGGGTGAGCGGTCCCTGGGTCTGGGGATGGTGATTCCCAAACCCAGGATTCCCTAAAGCCTCAGCCAGCTGCCAGTCAGCTCATTTCCTGGGAAGACCAGGGACTAGTAACTGGCCCCACAAAGACCTGAAGCTGCTGGGTGGGCTACGTGTGCCCGCCACAGAAGTTGTGAGCATTAAAATAGTGTAGGTATGAAGGTGCTTTGTAACCCGTAAGTGTAATTATCCTCATTCACAGAGAGAACCATAAAGTCACAGATTCATTCTGTGTGGTTTTAAGTATGTCGGAACACCATTCTTGTATTCCTTTTTTTACCCTTTTGAAAAAAAATCTTTCTTATTTATTTATTTATTTATAGAGAAAGGAAAAGGAAGGGAGAAAGAGAGGGAGAGAAACACTGATGTGCTTGCAACCCAGGCATATGCCCTGACCGGGAACCCAGCCGGCGACCTTTCGCTTTGCAGGACGATATTCAGCTAGTTGAACCATGCCAGTCAGGGCCTTTTCTACCCTCTTGTTGGATTCCCCACAGCAACTGCCATACACTTCCCTGCCTTTCTGGATGCTGGTTCAGCCCCTTCCCACTGGAGGTACCTCAGCCTCTGTCTCTCACTCCAGCATGAACCTCAGCCTGTGTATTGACAGGTGTGAAAAGGAACATAGATGTGAATGTATGGGTGTATGTGTGTGTGTGTGTGTGCGTGTGTGTGTATTCGTACATATACTTTTTCTGTCCACTGAGAATACCTGCCAGGAATGAAACCTCAGTAGCAATGAGTACACCTTGTGCCTAAATCTTGGTTTCTAAACACCATGCTTTACTAAAAGGAACTGCACTTTGTGGGAAAAATCACAGGTCTCAGAGATGGGTCAAGGAAGGGACAAGATGAGTCCAGAATATGTCACACTCAAAAGGAAGGGAATACTCCAAGAATGATGGGATGCAGAAGGGACTCCCACTGGCAAAATACGGGAACATCTGAGCACCAAAATAAATAATGATACCAACAGACTACAACCCACTGAATCCAGTAGGAATCTATGGGTCCACATCATTAGAAACAAATATGATGAGTCAATTGTAGGCTTAATGAGGAGTGGGATATATCTACATAGTCTCAAAGTAGTTCTCTACAAAACACTTCCTAATGACAGCGGGGACAAGAGGGGCTCTGCAGTGGAAGAGTCTGGCCCACACCCCTTCCATCCTGTGACCGGAGTTAACGCCATCAGTGAAGCGGTGTGCCACCTAACAGGATGCAGCGAGAACAACACAGCATCGCTTTCGTGATATTCCAGCCAAAGATGCGTCACCAAAGCTAACCTCAGGGAGACATCAGACAGATCCCATCCTTGTCCATTTGGGCCACTATAACAAAGTACCAGACTGCGTGCTTTACAACCAACACACATTTCTCACAGTTGGGGGCTGGAAAGTTCAAGATCGATGTGTTTGGTGCAGGCGTCCTAGTTCAGAGACGGCCGTCTTTCCTCTGTGCCCTCACATGGTGGAAGAGACAAATTGGCTCTCTGGGGTCTTTCTTATATGGGCACTGACCCTAATCGTGAAGGTTCTGCATTGCGAAAGTGCGTGCACAGGGAAAGAAGGTGTACGTGGATGCTGGGTGGCCCTGGGGGAAATGTAACGTGTTTGCCCAGCACCCCTTGCTTTGAGGAGCAACCCTCTCCCTGCTCTGTGGGGTACTGGCTGGATCTATCAGTCCCAGTGCCAATGCCATCGCCTGCACCCAGCTACAGGCTGGGTGTGTGACCTGCGCCATCCCACTGGCTGTAGAACCTGGTTCGGAGTGGGCTTGTGACCAGAGCCGGAACCGTGGAAGTAATCCCTCCAGCCCTTCCTGCTGGGGATGGTCGCCTTGAGTGAGGATGACATCGAGACACGAAATAGAACCGTTACGTGCCTCCGTCCTTGAGGCTCAGGGCTGGGGAGGGAGAGTGCCGTTAAAGGACGCGCAGCCTCGTGCCCTGGAAGCACTGGAGGGGCTCCCTGAGGAAAGGAAAAAGATGTTTCCCCACTGGGATTCTAAACTGGGAGATGGGCCACCTGAGGCTGCAGGCTGCCGTCTTGGAGTTTGTTTGAAACAGGAGGGAAAGCAGATGAGAGTGTCGGAGAGCAAGCTCTGGAACTGGCACCTGAGTCCCTGGATCCATCTATTCCTGAACCCCCAGCCCTGGGCTGCCCGATGGCTTAAACTCTCTAAACTACTGAATCTCTCTGTTTGTTTACCTAATTTAGGCTGGGATTCTCTCACTTGCAACCGAGAGTCTTGACTACCTCGCCAGTCTACTGGAAAGGTAAGTGCAAGCATCACCATATGGCACAGATGAACCTACATGGACAGTGGTCTCAGACGTAGTTCTCCCAGTGGGTGTGACATGCAGTGGGTGTTGAGATGGCCTGAATGGTGAGTCGCTGTGTGGTTGAGGTCACTAAGCAGGGTGGTCGGTGACCCGTGTCTGGGAGTCAGGGAGCAGGTGTGGCAAAGGCAAGCAGACCGGTTTCAGGTACAGACTGATGGAGAGGACGTCAGGTCTAGCAAGGTGCTGGAGCCAGCGGTGGGCATTCCACTCTTTCCCTCCCCTCAGTCAGGAGCGTGGGGTCTGAGCCTTCTGCTAGAGTCCCTCGGTGCAGGCGGTCAGAGGAGCATGGTGCTGGCGGAGGAGCTGAAAGGGCCCCTGGGGCAGTCCCTGGTGATGGTGGCTGAACACGTCTGGTCCTCCCCACTTCGAGGGCCGGGTAGCATTTACTTCCTGGATCCTTGTAGTTGAATGGAGCTGTGTGACTGGTTCCAGCCAATGAATGACAAATGGCTACTGTCAGTGGGCCACCCTCCAGTGCTCTCCCTGAGGTGGCGGCTCTCCTGTCAGCCAGAGTCCCAGAGCTCTCACTGAGCTCAGCCCCTCTGCAGACCTGCCGCAGACATGTAACAGGAGCAAGAAACGAAACTAGGGCTTTAACAGCATATTTAACTAATTTACAACTGGACGATGCTGTCCTTTTGTTGTGGACCACGGTATATGACAGAAGACGAACCCAGTGACCGTGTTCGAGCTCGCAGTTCGGAAGCAGTGAGCACACCCACGTTCTGTGCAGCCGTCACCGCCGTCCGGCTTCCTAAACCGAAACTCTGCCCACGGAACACGACGCCCTACTCCGCGCCCCCTCAGCCCCTGGTAGCCATTCTTCTGCTCCGACTCTGTGCATTTGACCTTTCTAGGCACTCCACATGGCATTTGTCCTTTTGTGTTGACTTATTCCACTTAGCGTGTCTTTGAGGTTCACCCATGTTGTGGCACCTGTCAGAATCCCCTTCCTGTTTAGGGCCCAGTAATGGCCCATCGTTGTGGATATGGCGCTTTGCTTCTCCACCTCTCGGCTGATGGACATCTGGCTGGTGTTCACCTTTGGCCGTCGTGAGTAACGTTGTTCCTAACACTGGTGTACAGATGTCTGTCTGGGTCTGATTTCAGTGCTCTCAGGCGGGTACCTGGAAGTGGAATTGCTGGGTCATATGGTAATTCTGTGTTTACTTTTCCTGAGGGACCGCCATGTGTTTTCCGTAGAATCTTTGTGGTTTTAAGTCACCAAGACTTGGGGTTGTTTGTTACCCCAGGGTAACCTAGCCTGTCCCTGCGGATACCGCCCCTCACCCCAGATGATCTAGGATCACCCAGAATTCTGGTCGGGCCCCAGGGGGCAGACACAGGTGAGGGGTATAGAGGAGCCCGAAGGCTGAATCGGCGTAGGCTGGACCCAGGGGCATGCGTGGTGAGGAGGGCCCAGCAGGGTTGGCCAGCACTGATGTGCCTCCTCTCAGGACCGCTGGAGGGTCCTCCTCCTGCCAGAGACATCGGGGCCAGGCTCTGGAACCAACCCTGCAGCCACATGGCTGCTGCCCACTGGATAAAACCGCCTTAACACGGCGGCCTCGGGCCGCTCAACCCCAGCAACACAGACATCCAAGGTCACACACGTCACGGGCCCCCAGTGGCTTCATCATAAATGGTCCTACTGAATAGAAAACCTTGCCCATCTTGAATCCTGGCTCGACCACTTCCAAATTGTGTGGTTTTGACTAAGCCTCATCTGTAGAGTGAGGGTGATGTGAGCTAGCTGACAGGGTTGGTAAGGACTAAGGGGAAATGCCAACTCTGGTGCCTGGCGGACAGGCAACACTCAGTAAACGGTAGCTGCTATCTGGAGCAGTATTATATAAGCGTTTGAGGAAGGGAGAGGAATGGCAGCCATCTTTCTAAACATGGGCGTCCCCTTAGCCCAGCCTTAGAGTGTCTTGGGTGCCCATCTTGCTGTCAAAAGCAAAATGGCCTGTAGTGCACATATTCATAGAACCAAGGTTTATTGAGAACCTACTATGTGCTGAGTGCTGGGCTCTAGAGATGACAGATGAGGGCCTTGTCCTCGTGGAAGGAACATGATGAGTCTCCGGGACTGGCCAGGTGGAGACCAAGGCCTACCATCAGTGGCACAGGGTCACCCCTTGAGTGAGGGCGACACTGAGAAAGACCAGGACAGTTGTGTGGAGAGTGGCCTCTGATCTTCAGTTTCAGGAAGTGCGGCAGAAGAAAGGACCCGGAAGCATTAGAGGGCTTCCAGGGGGAAATCTCTGGGATGAAAGGTCAGCTGTGTCCCAAAGAGCTCAGTAAGTCTGTTCCTGTGACCCTCGGGGAGGTGAAGCTGAGGGGGGAAATGGGAAAAGTAGCGTTTCCAGCAGAAACAGCCTAGGGGTCCTCTTCAGTTGCCCTTGCCCACAGGTGGGGCGATGGGTGCCTGGGGAAGGGGGCACACCCTGTCTGGCATTAGGGAGCTCAGGGCACTTCCACGTAGTAGCTGAAGCCTCACAGGTGGAATGGGGGTGCACCGTGGGAGAGGGCTGGTGGAGATGAAAGAGAAGCAGGGAGCCAGGCGGGGGCTCAGGGGGCCCAGCGCCAAGCCCTGAAGGCAGCAGGTGGGAGAGCCATGAGCAGAGGGTGGCTGTGCTGTTGGAAGTGGACAGAGGTGCCCCAGATCAGAAACCTGAAGGCCAGAGGACTCTATGGGAAATAAAAACAACCTCCCTCCACGGCGAAGAGGGGAGCGTGAGGTTAGGTGAGGTTACGTGTAGGTGTGTAGAGAACCTTAGACTGGAAGGGATCTTCAATGTCATTTAATTCAACCTCCAACTCCATGAAATCTTTCAGCCTTCCACTGCCCAACTGAGGGCACTACTTGGACACCTCAAGGTACAGGGAACTCACTCCCTTCAAGGGGGGCTCATCCTGTAGAGGGCCTCGGCCAGGATGGACCTGGCGACCCGAGCTCGTCCCTGCTGGGCGGGCGGCCTCCACTTAGCCGCCCCACCTGGCGGGGGTGGAGGGCGCAGTGGGGGTTGGGGCGCGGAAGGGCCGGCGCTGCTGTCCCCAGCCCCAGTGCTGAGGCAGGCAGAGTGCAGTGGGCTCTGGTGGAGGTCGGGAGAACTGTAGGGCATTGGCCGCCGGGGTCTCCTCGGGCTGAGGGGAGGCACTTGACACCGGCCAGGGGAGAGGAGGGGCCGCTGTCCCTGCGGCCAGTGCTGGATACGGGGACCCAGCTCCGAGGCAGTGCCAGGTAGCAGAGCGCCCCGCGGGGGAAAGGCCGCAGAGGCTGGGAAGTGGGACCGTGGGCGCTAGGACCAGCCGCGCGCACAGGCCGCTCCCGCCACGACGCCCCGGGGCCCCCGAGTCTGCGCTGCCTCCTGGGCCGGCTCCGAAGCGCCAGAGCCCGGGCCAGCGCGGCCGCGGGGGACGAGCAGCAGGCGAAGGCCTGGGCCCGCGGGCGGCCGGAGGGAGGGAAGGAGGAAGGCGGAGAGAAGGGGTGGGAAGGGGGGGGGACCCGGCAGAGGAGGCGGAGAGAGAGAGCGCGACAGCCAGCGGAGGGAGGGAGTGAGTGAGCGAGGCAGGCAGGCGGGCTGGGAAGGAGAGAGGGCGCGCGGGCGGCGGCGGCGTCGAGACCAGAGGACCATCCGGGACGCGGCGCCGCGGCACCAGGGCGCGCAGACGGGCCGGCCCGACCCCACCGGCCACACGGTAATGAGCGCCGCTCCTGGCGGCCTGGGCGGCCGGCCCGGAGGTGGGCGAGGAGGAGGTAGGGCCGGGAGGGGGGCACGGCGGCGGGCAGTGCCCGGCTCGGGGCAGGCTCCCGGACCCCTGCAACTCGGCGCCGGGAGCTTGCGGGGCCAGGGCTGCGGGCGGGGACGGCGGGCTGGGCTGGCCGGAGTGGCGCGGGGCATTTGTGGGTTTGTTTATGTCCCCGCGGGCTCGGCAGGCGCCCCCTCCCGTCCCGCCCGCTCCAGGCTCGGAGCCCCCTCCCCGCCCCCGCCCCGCTCCGGGCTCAAGTTCAAGTCTATACAATGCGGCGCCCCTCCACTGCTGGCCTCAGCCGCGGTGCCCGGCTCGGCGCTGCCGCAGGGGCTCCGGACTCGCCACCCCCGCCTTCCGGCCCTGCCTCCACCCCGAGCCCCGCCTGGGGCCTGCGGGCGGAGAGCTGGAGGGCGCAGACCCCGACCCCGAATAATCGGCTCCCGCCGCGGCCCGCAGGGAGCGGAGGAAGGGGCGCGGGCCCAGCTCAGGCTCCGCGGCGGCGGCAGAAAATGGCAGCCTGGCACGACCCGGCCCCCCGCCCCTCCCCCCGGCTCCCGGCCCTCCATGGCCAGGCGGACACGGGAGGCCCCGGGGGGCGGTCCGAGGGGTGATCGGCGGGCCGGGCCGGGGAACACTGCGCAGCGATCCTCCTTCGGCCACCTGTGGCTGGGGGTGCGGGTGCCAGTGGATCTGGGAGGGGCGACGAGGGCGGGGAGAGTGCCACTTGGGGGGCACACCTCCCCGCGGACGGCCGGGGGTGGGGTGGACTTCGTGCCTGGCTCCTCCCCGCCCGCGCCGTGGGCAGTGGGAGCCGGGGCGGTGGCGCCGCAGTGTAGGGGCGAGGCGGGGGCGAGCGAGTATCCCGTCCCCGGCCGCGGGGCCGGAAAACGCAGGGGTGGGAGTAGCAGGACAGAACGGGAGCCGCGCGGGTGAGGGCGTCGGGGGTCGCCCAGGCAGCAGAAACACCCCCTCCGCAACACTCAACACGCACGCGGACACACACGCACACGCACCCCCGCTGGGCCGGTGCAGACGTGTCCTTGAAAGATTCCCATCTGCACAGTGAAGGACGAAGCCTGGCGGAGGCTGCAGATTAGGGTCACCGAGCCCAAGTCCCCGCGCCTCGGGAGTCCTGGAGCTTCGGAGCCGCAGGCGGCCCTGGTCCGTGTCCCGCCCTCACCCCAGCTCCCCTCCCCCAGGCCGCCCTGCCCTCCCTCCCCCTCCGAGCGGACGGAGCTGGCGTGGGTCCAGGGCCCGCCCCCGGCCTCCCCCAGCCCCCCGCCGCTGGGGCCCGCCGCCCTCCGGCTGCCAAACTTCGTTTAGCTTTCCTGGAGCCTCCCTTCTTGGGAGAACCCACTCCCTTCCCACCCTACCTCTGTTTTCCCCCTTTTCTCGTCATCCCCTCGGTCCTTCCGCCTCCTCTCTCCACGGCAAAGCCAGTTGAGTAGGTGTTGGCGCCGCGGGTGGGGAGTGGGGGCTCGTCAGTTCTCAGGGGCTCCCTTCCCAGCTCGCGAGGGGCGCCCCCTGCGGCTGCACCTTGACCCAAGATGGCGCCCTGCACCCAGCGGGGCGGCCGGGGCCTGCGTCAGGCCGCGGGGAAGGCCCAGGGCCCCGGCGCCGCACGGCGCGCCCCCTCCCAGACCAGCAGTGACAGGAGCCTGCGCGGGCAGCGCCCTCCGCCCTGTGACCCGGCGTGCCCCTCTCTGCTGTGCCCAGAGACGGCCATCAGCACCCCTGGGGGACTGTGCGGTCTTCGTGTTTCACCCTGGGCCGCCAGCGGCCGAACGGGCCTCCTGGGCTGCGGCTGCGAAGGGATCCTGGGATCAGGTGCTGGGCCGCTGGGCCTCCTCCCTCCCGGGCAGATGTGACAGCTGCAGCCAGGGAAGCTTTCCTCCTTAAGCGCTGCTGGAGTGTGAGGACTGGTCTATGGGATTTGGGGAGCCCAGCTGTCAGGCGGACCCTCTTTGGGCTGTCCCCTCTGTTGGCAGGGGCCATCTCCTGGTGGTTTGCGGGAGCTGCCTGGGCTTGGAAGCTTTGGTTGTCAAGAGTTCCCGCTAGGTTTCTGGGGCAAGGTGGTCCCTCTCTGCCTCCGAGTCGCACTAAGCCCCCGTTGGGCTGTTTGACAAGCAGCTCTGAAAGTGTGAGTCTGTGTGCGCATGTGCCGCACCCAGTCAGGGTCTCCAGGCGAACTTGCACAGCAGGGCCTGGCGCCTGCCTGCCTCCCTTCCTGGCCCCACTTCTTTGGGCCCTGGCTCCCTCCCTGGACTCTTGTCCAGCTCCTGGGTCACTGTCTTCAGCCACTCGTGAAAGGCAGAATTGCAGGCTCCGGCTGACTGAGGCTCTCCTCGCTCTCCTTCCCAGGCCTGTGGGCCTGCAATGGGCGGCCAGCCTCAGAAGAGGTGAATTCCTTCTAGACTCAAGGACTGAGTCCACAGTGCCGGGACTGTTCCCCAGGCCGGAGCGCCGTGGCCATCTGTCAGGGTGCCTGTGGACAGGATTCCTCTGTGCATGGAGGTTGGACTGGAGCTTGAAGGTCCATTCCAACTTTTAAATTCTGTGGCTCTGATTCCCGTGGCGGCATTTCGGACCCAGGAGTGGGGGCAGAACGGTCTCTGTTTTCACCACACAGCAGTAATCGGGAAAGACCCCCCAAGGAGTGGAGGTCTGCAAGAGAGCAGCCTCCCTCCCCGAGGGGGTGGACCTTTGAAGGCAGAGGTGGCATGAGGGGTGGGGACCCTGCAGGGGACGGGCTTGTCCTGTCTGACTCCTCAGAGGGTGTAAAAGTACAGCTTCCGGTGAAGCCTTCACACGTGTGTGTTCTTCTGTACGTTTGCATGTCATTCTGTGTGTGTGCATAAGTTATGAGGTTTCTTCCCAGACCCAGGTAAGCACTTGAGTGCCTTGCGGATATTTTACTATCGCAGCCCCGCATCAGTGCAGTCGGTCCTCTGTAAAAGCCTACAAGGAAGACAGGACAAGCTTGAAAATACCTGCCCAGGGCGACCTGGCGGGGAAGAGGGGGCCAGGCCTGCCCTCTGGGGAACTTCGACTGTCCCTCGCTCAGCTCTCCTGGGGTGCTGCTACGCTTGGTTTCCTCTCCTTCCAGTCTCCTGTGGTTTCCATGGGACAGGGGCCGTGCCCCCGCTGCCTCTGGGTCCCCCCCACTAGACATTTCAGGGGGCCGCCACGGTCATCTGCTGAATGGGGGGGAGCTCGCTGCGCACCTGCGTTTTCAGTCCCAGTCCTCTCCCCAGTGGCAGAAGCTCTCCTCCTCTTGCTGCTGCTCTGCCTTCCCCAAACAGTCACTGCCTCCTTTTCTGCCAGATACTCAGGCTCCAGCTTCCCCAAAAGACCCCGTTCTTCCCCAGCAAGAGCCCAGGCTCCCCAAAGGCTCCTTTTTGGCGGGGGGAACCAATTGGAAAGGGGACTCTGAGAACCAGTCTTGCTGGTTCTCTAATGGGGGTAAAAAAAAAAAGAAAAAAACAGACCCAACCTCTCCGCATCCTTGAGCCTGAAATGTTATCATGAGAATCCAAGCCTCAGACTTTAGGGCCGAAAGGGAACTTTGAGCCCTGAGAACACTTGGAGTGGGGCAGAGGGCTGTTTGCATGGGGGCCAGGCCTCTTTTCCTCTGGGGCTGGGAGCGCTGGCCTGAGCCCGAGGCCACAAGGCCAGCGGTGTGCCTGTCACGTGCGCCTCGGCCTCTGCACTTCCTGACGCCTTCTGCTTGTGTCGGCCTGGGGGTCCTCGGTTTGGGGGCCACGTCCCCTTTCCCCACCCCATGCCCCACTAGTAGGAAGTGTGTCTCCGGCCTCTAGCCTGGGAACAGGCCACAGCCAGGGCTGTCACACAGCCTGCGGGCATCCACTTACTTCCATTTTGGTGTCTAATAGACAGTGGGGCCTGTCGGGAGCCTGCGTGCCCTTGGAGGCTGGGCGTCTCCGTGAGCCTGTGGCTTTGCTGCTCCCGAGCGGGACTGTAATAGTAAACGGAAGGGGTCAGATCCCTCTCCGCTCCAGCCTGGAGGGCTTGTTGTCAGTCATTTCTCTCTGACTGCGTGTTTGCTAGGAAAACCATAAAACCTGGGATCCGTGTGGAGTCAGGGATGCGTGTGTGTCCAAGCTGCCTTCATGGGGGCAGGACAGGGTGTGGTGCACGTGGATCTGTGCGCGCGTGTCTGTGCACACCTTTCCGTGTGTGCCCTGTGCGCAGCTGCGTGGGGATAGATCCGACTTGCCGACCCATAAGCCTGTTTCAGGGCGGCCGAAGCGGGAGCTGTGGAGTCAGAAGGGGCTGCGTTCTGACACCGACGTCCCGGCGGCGGGATCCAGGGCCGCTGACGTCATCCCTCAGTTTCCTCACCTGGAACGGGGCAGTCCGCCCGGGCTGTACTCAGAGGTCGTTATGAGGACTAAACAAGGTCACGTGCCGAGGGCAAGGGCTCAGTGGTAGCTCGGCCGTGATTGTTTCCGGCGTTGGGGCAGCTTGCGTGCATCGCACTGCAGGCAGTGCGCCGAGAAGTCTGGTCCACCTTCCTGCCTCTTTTGCGAAACCTCGGACTGATGACGAAAGTGCTGCTTCTGATTGAAAAATCTCCCGAGGGGGGAGGCTCCTCTGCGCCGCTTAGCAGTCTGTTCCAGAGCTGAACTAGTCGCGTTGTCAACAGGTCGTCTCTGTAGTCACCTTCAATCCCTCACACGGCAGTGTCAGCTCCTTAGTCCGCTCCTGTCCCGAGTGCAGTGCATTCGCTTCCAGAGACTTACAGAGCATTGCCCGTGGGCAAGGCCGTGTGCTGGACTTGGAGGGGAAACAGCGAGTTGAGGGTGTGCCCAGCCACGGTTGCAGGACAGGGAGACAGAAAGTGCTGAAGGCCAGGTCACAACCAGCTGCGAGGCTCTGGGAGGGTGTCTTGGGGGAGATGGCATGTGAGACAGGCTTCAAAGCACAGAGGCAGGGCTGCCAGGGGGACAGGAGGAACCCCTGCTGGTGGGGGTGGGGCAGGGAGCCACTGGGAGGCAGACCAGGGCCTTGGGTTGGGACCCGTGCTGTTTTGGGGAGAGCCGGCTGCTGTGCTCTGTGACTCCTCCGTGGCCCAGGAAGGGTCACTCTGAACTGCTCTGCTTGTGGTGGCTTTGGGGGGTAGGGTGGGGACGAGAGGGAGGGAGGAAAGGGAGAGGGCAAGGGGCCGGCTGAGCTCATGTGGTGCAGGATCTTGATGATTCCTTTATATTCTGTAGACGAGAGATTAGGAGCTCAGGCTTGGAGAGAAACAGAGCAGGGTTTAAATTACACCAACCCCAGGGGTGTGTGGCAGTTCAGGGGAACACCAGCCAGGGTAAGAAGGTCTGTGTGCCAGTGATGGCATTCATAGCGTAGCGTGAACGGGGAGGGTCCTTACCTGGTCTCCCAGAGGCCTCTGTGTCCCCCTTTCTATCCCCTCCCTCAGGCCCAGGGGCCCCTGCAGGGGGCTGTGAATAGGGGTGCAGAGCCTGACTACCCCCTACTTTTCCTCTCTTTCCTCCACACTCAGCAGAACCAGGCCCCCAGTTCGGCAGGGATGTGTCCCCGCCTGGCATCCCTGCTCCTGAGTGTGGCTGCAAGTGCCTGGCCACCCGGAACAAGGACAGCCAGTGGTCAGGGCCCGCCAGCCCACATCTCCCTTGCTGATCACATCGCAGGGCTGTCTGGAGGACGGCGACAGGGGAGGAGGTGTGGGGGCCTGGGGCTCTCCTAGGCTCATCCCGGTGGGGAGTGGAATTTTTCCAACTGTAACTGAGCATTGCCCACTCCCATCCTGATGTGGTCCCCTCTGACCCCGCAGGCTTCCCAGCCTTATTTACATCTATAACCAGGTTCCTATTTTCTCTTCCTGCGGTCTTGGCCCTGCTCATTGTCATCCCTATTGATCTTGCCTTTCTGTTTGTGTTTCAAATGTCAAGGTCATTTTCAATTCTGAGCCAGTTGTTTGCTGCCCTGTCTGGGTGCTGAGAGGGGACAGAGGACCATCTCAAACAGCTGGTAACTAGAGGGCTGGAACTGGGGTGTCCTGACCCCTAGTCTGTTGCTCTTCCCATGTACCACTGCATAGGTGGACCTGGGGGGCAGTGCAGGTGTTCTAGACCTAGTTGACCAGCCAGAGCCCCGGGTTCCAGTGATGCTTATGTGAAAGGGTTAAAAGATGCTTACTGGGGACATTATGGGATAGTGGGGTCCGATCTGAGGGTTGGATGCGGTCCGAGTCACAGGGAATCGGGATGCCCAGGCTGGGAAGCTGGGCACCTGGGAACAAACTTCCACTCAGAGGGTCCCCGGATGACCCAGGGAGGAGCAGGCCAGGATGCGCCGGCCAGTGCATGGGGATGGGGTCCTCCAGCGTTCCTGCGAGCGGAACCTGTTGGGAAGGGGCCTCCTGAAGGAATGATCCTGTGTGATTAGTATTAGAGATTCTGAAAGGAGAAATACATTTATAGATACAGGGAGATCTGTTTGGATTCCCCAAAGCCTTTGAAATGCGGTAGT